AAAAGTCAACAGTTCATATTTAATTCTGGCCATATTTTCTCTCATCACGTTATCTCCTATCTCTCTCTACCGGCAACTTGCACGAAAGAAGGGTAAAACCGGCGCATATGAACCTTAATTGTTAGTTACCTAATAATGTCAAAATCAGTGTTATGCACCTAATTTCCTTTTGATTCTTAGTCATTTCGCAAATTCACCCTTATTAAAATTGAAGTATTTTTAGTACTGTTTGAAAATAAAGATAATAAGATAAATGATTTTTTTTTGAAAATATGAACAGTAGACTAAATATTTTTTTATTTACACATTTAGTCATTACTTTTATAATAAATTAAATACTTTCTTTTGTATTTTTTTATTTACATTTTCTGCCATTGAATTTAAAATCAATTTAAATTAATTAATTACAATGGTTTTTTTTGTGGTCAAAATAAAAACACAAACTGAAATATATAATATCTATATTATTAAAACTGAAGTACATTTGGTACTGTTTGGAAATAAGGATAGTAAGATAAATGAAAATTGTTTGAAAATATGAATAGTAGATTAAGTACTTTTTTTTTATTTAAACATTTAGCTATTACATTTATAATAAACTAAATACTTTCTTTTGTATTATTTTTATTTACAGATTCTGCCATTGAATTTAAAATCAATTTATATTAATTAATTATAAAAGTTTTTTTTGTGGTCAAAATAAAAACACAAACTGAAATATAGAATATATATTATATAAAATAAAAGTTAATATAGTATTACCTTAGTTAATTTAGTTAAATATAAATTTCGTGAGTTTAATTTTTAAGAAAACAAAATAGCATAAAATTAATGCAAAAAATTAATTTTTAGTATATTGTTTCATTTTGAAATAAAATAACAAAAAAACATATTAATATATCAATAGTACAATTACATCAAATTATAAAAAATTTAGTATAATATTATGTACAATTAAAAATTTATTATTAAACATTTCTATTACAGAATAATATATTCAACTCTATATGTAAATTAAAAACATAAAAAATATATAATTTTTTATAATACCAGCAATTTATAAGTGTACTTTAAACACAAGCTAAATCAACATCCGCATTCTCGTGCGGTTCAAATTCTAGTATTCGTTATAACTTGATCTAAGATTAATGCTCAGTTACTTACGTACCATTAACCAATAGAAAATAAGTGACATGGATGTGTCAACAAGTTCGTTAAGTGTTAGGTGTGAGATCGCACAAGTAAATTTTCGCGAATTATTTTCTCGCACTTTCCACTATAAAGAAAGGAATGCAGTTCGAATATGAAAAATGTAAAAATAATCTGAGTGAGGGCATCTGCATTGGAATCTCCTAACAAGAATTTTTCATTTAATAAGTAAAAACTTTTTTTATTTTTATTTGGATGACCTAAAAGAAACTAACAACGATTAACTCTACGATTTTGAGTGTTAAACTGTATATATTGACATAATCGCATTTAAAAGATTATTCTGCTGAAATTTGATTAATTTTACAAAGGAGAAAATGTGCAGAACGAATTTTACTTTGACAGAGTCTCTGTTTAACTAGTAAGAGCATGATTATCGGGGTTGTTTATGGGAGTTGCTTAAGTTAATTGTGATTTAAAAAAAAAGAAAAATACCTTTTAATCGAAGCTACGTTGCTTAATTAAGAGAAGAAAGCAACGTCGCTTATAGGACACGCGTCATAAGTCGAAGTCTCCTCCGTCCTTCTTCGCTGGTGTGAATCATTGCCGGAGTTTGTTTGT